AGATGACGGCTGAGTATTTAGGCCTTTGGTCGGAGACCGATGCCCGGTTGTTCAGACGTGCTTTAGGCCATACGGCTCAGGGTTGGGGGTTTGCTGTGTACAAGGGTCGGGGTAGTTTCGGGATTCGGGTTCAACGTCGAGCTCGACACGGACTGCGGCAATCAAGAAGGCTTGGGACAGACAGATTTGTCTTGCCTTGACCCGTTCGGCATGCGGCCGAATCATCGTCTGTCTGGAGTCGCAACCACAATGAAGCGGTTGCATTGGCAGCACCAGAGATCGTCGAACTTTTCCACGAGCTGTGGAACATCCGAAACGATCGGGACACAGCCATGGCAGGAGTCCGCCATCTGAAAGACGGCCGAAGGATTGGGAAGACCGCCGTATCTTTCTCTTGGACCTGGGCCAGGTCTCCGCCTTTTCGGCCGAAACCTGAGCGACCTGCACTGGCCCTGAAGCAGCCATCCGTTGCCAACCCGGCACCGAAGAGAACAGGCACTGCCTGCTGAGAGGGCTGGCCCCAAGCAACCCGTCCCGAGCCCGAATCATGGCCTTGTTTCCAGCCTTAGGTCCTCAGCCTCGTTTGGTAGCCATGTCCCAAGTTTCCTTGGCACAAGGGGAGCCCCCTACGATAAATCCGACCGAGTCTTACTAAGGCCTGCAATAAATTGTTCTGGATGAAAACACAACCTGGCAAAATGCTCTGTAAGATCTCGTCCCCAATGTCGACCAACTTCACCATAACCAGGCTCAATTTTTGCCCACTACTATTGAGGGACGAGCATACTGTAATAGCATAGTAGCAGACATTGACTAGTGTTAAGACCGGGGGTCCTAGGCATTTAAGACCGGGGGTCGTAGGCATTGAGGACTAGCTTCCACCCCGCTCTGAAGTGGCAGGTCAAACTTTACGGTTTGGGCCTAGAGCGGTTGGTGTTTTCGGGCTTTGTGGGTTTAGGCCTCGGGGTTGCAGTGCCCGGGGCTGACTGTTCACGGGTTTGAGATTTAGGGGCTCAGGGATTTACCGTCTTGGGAGTCACGGTAGGCTGTCATAGGGCCATCAGTGTTAGGTCCGGGCTTATTTTGGGGTTAGGTGTAGCCTCACGGAACATGGCCCCTCCAGGTCCATGAACTTGGCAGTTGCGGGTTTAAAGACGAAGACCGGTCTACTAGTATGTTGTCTGTAGTCGCAGGGCTTTGGACTCCAGGAGTGGCCTAGCGGTATTGGGTCTCAGGGCCGCGATTGTACGATTGAGGGTTGGCAGGCCCTTATTCCCTTTCTGGGGTTCAGCTTTCCTTATAAGCCCCTTAAACCACAAGTGGCACCCTTTTTATTCCTAGGGTACTCTTGGGTCGGCGATGATTAGGGTACAGGTTTCGCGTTTTGAACTTGAGTCACAGATGCAGGTTTTGGGTTTCGGGAGTCAGTGGGGTTTGCAACTCCACAGCTTCGGTTCAGGGTTCTGGGGCCCAGGGCGTTTGGGATTTGGGAGTTAAGATGGTGGTACAAGGTGCTAATTGTTCCAAGGACCAGGTCGAGGGTTCCGTCCATGGAGGTCAGGGAGAGAAGGTTTGACGTGTGCTTTCGTGATTGTTCTTAAATCAGAAAATAGGAGTGCGGCGGTCCAGATTTTATTGTTCAGAGCTTGGGTTCTCAGGGTTTGGTATTGGGGGGTGGTCTTGCAGGCGTCTTGGCTGGTTGTTTTCCAGCCTGGATGGAGATTTCTGGTGATTAGATACTGGGTAGCCACCGGTTCGGATTAGGGTTCAGATTCAGCATCCTTAGCCAGTCTACCGCCAGTCTACCCCGCCCGGGGCTCCACCCCGATTGAAAGCTGCACCGAAGCGCAGGTCCTCCTTGGCGGAGGATGCCGCGGGATCTGCTGGGCACAGGCGCATAATTGCCATGAGCAGGAGGGTGCACATCTGCTCAGAAAGCATGAGCATGAAGGGTCTTGGTCGCAGCTCGCAAGAAGCATGAAATCCCTTCTCCTAGCCAGCTCTTGCTCGAGGACAATTTGTGAATCGGGAGGGTGATTCAGGGTGCTTCGCCATGGCAACTTCATCCGAGGATGTTATGAAGTCAGTGGAAAGGGCTTGCTTCAAGGCCACACCGTCCTTGTATTGGCCCAGCCTCATCCACGGGCCCTTTGTGTCATGGGTCATTTCTCGCAGGCGATCCGCGACGACCAGGAGCTGAAGCTGAAGATCTGTGACCAGAAATCCTTTCTTCTGGACGGGGCTGGACGAAAGGTGAATGCCGCCTCTGTGATCGCGAATGCTGTCACCCGGTTCAAAGACTGAGGCATGTCAATGTTGTTGCCAGCTTCTACCATCATCCACAGACGTAGAAACCCTTCTCAGGACATGCTGCAGCCGCTCATCATCGCCTGGGTGGGCCACGTGAAGTTCAATACCGTGCCCCACTTGGAGAAGATCCTCCTGCACTTGAGGGATGCCTGGGATGTCGCGGCTTGGCTTGAACCATCCGGCTAGACAGCTTGTCCAGATCGTCGTCCCAGGATGTCGGCGACAGCGACCTCAAGAAACAGGCGAAGCACTTCAAGAAGCTGCTGAATCTCCACTACGGCCACTTGGTCTTCAGTTGAGTTGATTCTCAATCTTCACAGACTCTCAGAGGCGGCTTCCGGGCTCAGCTACAAAAGCTAAGAAGCGGCCATGCGTGTGGAGACCGAGCACAGGCACTCGGCACTGTGCAGGTTGACGGTGCCTGATGCTGCAGCTTCAGCGTGGCATTGTTGAGCGAGTGTGTTCTTAGTAGCTAAGAGTCGCTGAGACGAGGCAACCTTCGTGGAGCATTCACAAAAGCAGAAGGACAACATCCATAAACTCCGGTTCGAGAAGGTCACCTATAGGAAGAAGCGGACAGCCGAGGCCTGGGCTTGCACCTTGTTTGTCGGCTGCATCGGGTTTGGTTGACATTCAGGAGATTATGGAGGACGACGACGAGACCGAGCCGACATTTGGCTGCGTCTTATCAGGGTCAAAGGGGTGACGGGTCGACATTATCGTTGGCTTTTGGGGCTGTCTTGTGACTGCAGGCCGGCTCAGCCTGCTGCGAAGCGGCGTGCCCCTCTCCGCAACGAGGACGTTCAACGTTTGAGAGAAAGGCCGGGCGACCGTTGCCCTGGCAGTGCGAAGGGCCCGACGACATTAACTGTCACAGCTCACATTCGCCTTGAACAGGTACATCCAATCCACGGCGGCCTACCAGGTCGAGCCGCACTGGCGTTCGGGGAAGCCCAAGGCTGTTGTCCGTGAGAAGATCCTCGGTGGTGTTCAAGTTATTTTTCCGAGTCCATCAGTGTCAGTGTCTGTAACAGGACGTGGCCCAGGGATTGCAGAAAGCAAGAGTGTTTGATAGGCTGAAGTCTTCTGTCAGCCAGATGTCCTTGAATGTTGTGAGGAAGTTGTGACTGCTGTCAGGAATCGGTTAGACGGCCAAGGTTAGCCGGGGCCCGGCTCAAGTGTAAGACTACCAGCATTTAACAGACATCAATGTGCTGAAACCCGAACTATTGCAGTCCGACTCAGACCATCTTCCGATTGGACACATTTGGTTTGTAAACGAGGAAGACTGGCAAGGGGATTTTCTCGCTGACCCACGACGATTGGTCGTTGGTTTTGACCCTGGCATCGTCTGTGGTTGCTTGGCTCCAGCTTGTCCAATAGTACTTAATACAAGGAAGCAACGGCTGCTCGGTAAGCCGCATGCCTTAGGACACCTTGTTCGGACCTAGGCAAAAAAAGCTCAAGAGCAGGGCGACCACAAGGGCATTCGCCAATTTGCCGATGCTGAGTACACAAGAATGATTGGGGAGCGGCGAGAGGGTCGCTGACACCGAGTCGCTGCCTGTATGTCCGGGGAATAAAAAGTGGCTGGGGCGGCAGCCATTGAAGACTAAGAAGCTCGAGAAATTTATGCGGGTATCAAGCAATCGACAGTGTCACACCTTCGTTCCGGATGATGTTGGCCTCGGACTGAAGGACGGGTCCTGCGTTATATGGCCCGGACAGGATCGACGACGATGGGATGACACAGCCGGCTCACGGCTGTGGTGCGTGTGTGTCCTGCACGAGGCAGGACGATGTAGGGGCAAGTTGCCGCGACCGTGTGAACAGGGTGCCGAAACTTGCACGGTCACTGCCCAGGCCTCTCCATCCTGGCACAGGCAGGACTTTTCAGATGGTCTAGTGTTTTCTGTGACTGGAGGCTTGTGATTGCTGGCAGTTGTCCCGGGTGTGCTGTGTGCTGGACGAGGCAGGGGACGTTCGTGCTGTGTGACGGACGAGGCAGGGCACGTTGCCGGGACCGGTTCTACAAGGTGCCGAAAAGTCAGGTATACGGTAGGGTGGATTCGAAGGTGAGCAGTGTTTCTGGTTTTTGCTGACAAGCTTAGGCGTGGCCTTGTACGGGGCAGGTTGCCGCGACCGTTTCTAGCAGCTGCCGACAACTGAAGCGTGGATTGGAGAGGTGAGCGGTGTAATTCTATTTTTGCTGCCTAGCGTAGGAGAAGGCCCTGTTATGCAGGTATACACCTCCTACACTGAGCCCCGGGCTCGGCGTCGGAGGCGTCATGTGCTATGTTGACTCCATTTCCTACAGCCGAGGCCCTGGAGCTTTGAGCTTTTGCCTGTCCGGCGTAGGAGAAGCCTTTGTTATTGAGGTATACACCACCTACACTGAGCCCCGGGCTCGGCGTCGGAGGCGTCATGTGCTATGTTGAGTCCATTTCCTACAGCCGATTGGGCTGCTGCCCTTATTGTAGGTAACACACGTGTCCACTAGCCCCTGAGCAGCACGATGAGCTCGCCCAGGCCGGAATGCCAGCCATCTGCACATTTTCCCGCCGAAGGAGGACCGTCTGACTGACTGTTTTCTCGCCGTGAGCAGTGTTGGAAATTCTCGCTGACCTTCTCCAGAACAGCAGCAGCCGTATTTCGAAGGAAACGGTAAGTCTGCTTCTTTTGCGGAACCCATGGCGCCCCGTCGCAGCACCGGTGGAGACAAGAAGAAGGCCACTGCCACTGAGGCCTCGCCCAAAGCCCCGGAGGATGGCCCCATCATGAAGATGACAACGTCGGAGGGCTGGGATGCGGTGAAGAAGGCCATCAAGAAGCTCAAGGAGGCCAAGCGGTGGGTGACTTCAGGACCCGGACGAGTGTTCCAGCATTGAGTTGTGCCAGTGTAGGGCTGTCAAGGTCTTATGATAGCCACAGCCCTGGAGGAAAGAAGCTGCCGAAGGATGCAATGACGGGGGCCGTGACGACCTTGAAGCTGGCAGATATTAACTTCGAGGAGCCGGGACCGGGATTGACCTTCCCCACGATGGCCGAGTTGAGCGGATCGAGAAGTTACTGGTACGGCCCGAAGTGTGCCGTGTCCTTGCCCGTGCTCCAGTTGATGGCTCCCAGCACGTCCGGCAGTGCCAACTCTGTGGATGTCAGGCCGGCGGGATTGTGATATGTCATCAGTCACTCGGTCCTCTCTCGCCGTTCGGTACCCTGAGGCCAGGACAGCTTCTTGCGACAACCCATCTATCCCGGCTGGGCGCTTTCATCCTAGAGTTTGCGGACAGCCTCCGCGACAAAGACCGTGCGGCCGTCTTTCAGGAGTGTGCCGAGGCATCAGGGGCGTATTAATAATAAAGTCAGTGTCAGTGTCCAGGCTAACCGAGTTTCCATGCCGACAGGCCGTTTGCGGAATGATCGTGCGGACCGGCGGTGATGGGAAGGAAGCGTTCTGGCTGTGTCACAGGCAAGGAGAGGACGCCATACAACGATGCAAGGAGGCGGGCCGCTGGAAGTTAGGATCGTTCTTGAACATTTGGAGAGATGCCTGTGTTTTGAATTGATTGCTTGCAGGAGGGGAATAATCTCGCGTGGAGACTGGCACAGCGCCTGGAACAGTGCCTTGGCTCTGTTGGTCCATCACACATTGAATTTGCTATCGATGCTTGGCTCACCGAGGCTTCGATGCCTGAACAAAGGCTTGGGCCTGAAGTACACTCCGGAGGCTCTCTTCGACGAGTTCAACGAGCGTGTGCGTGAGCATGGCCTCACGTATGCGAGCGGCCTGTCCCAGGCGGAGCTTCTTCGGGTTCTTTCACGTGTTCGTGTGTGCACTCTTTGCGTGTGTCTTTCGAAGACTGAGAACATCGAGTGCAGATTGCAATGACAGGTCAAGTCGCCAGACATGATCAAAAAGCTCTTGAGGCTTTTGGGGCGGGCTGTGCAGGGGAACGTTGTCGAGGTTTTCCAGAACATGCAGTTTGTCGGCGGCCAGCCGACGTGGCTCGGACAATGGTCCGTGGTTGTGCGGCTTCTGGGGCCGTGCTCCAGTGGCAGCGAGCTCGCGTTCGTGGCCCGACACACGGCTGCAATGAGAGACGAAACATGCAGTAGCCGTAGTAGCGTAGTAGTCTATCTGTTGTCTTCGAAATATGTTAAGAGAGCGAGGTTGATTTCGACCGGTATTGTCCCGAGGTTGACCATCTACTAGGCCCTAGGCTTTGGGGATTCTTACCCAGCCCTGAAGGCCTGCAAAAGGCTTGAAGAAGAATCTAGGCTTTAGAGTTCAGGGCTTTCAACTGCATTCGTTGCACAAGAGCTGCCAATCCCATTTGGGCCCCCAAAGCACCCATGGGAAGTTTTGCAAATTCGGGTCTTACTTTATAAGGGTGCCTAGAGAACTATTTCTATAGTCTTTGAGGGCTGTTCCTAGACTTGGCCTCAGGCCAAATTAGACACCCTACAGGTAGCAGTAACAGTAGGAGCAGTGATCGCCATAGCAGGAGAAGAAGAAGAAGTAGTAGTAGTAGTAGTAGTAGTAGTAGTACTAGTAGTAACTGTTGTTGTTGTTGTTGTTGTTGCTGTTGTTGTTGTTGTTCTAGTCGTAGTGCCTTTAACCCTAAATCTAAACAACTCTAAACCCTACAAGAACAGCTACTAGGGCGACGGCTACTATTACTACTTAGGCTAGTACTACTACTTACTAGTACTAGTACTAGTAAGAGTACTCGTACTAGTACTAGTACTAGTCCTCGTGCTACTACTACTACTACTACTACTACTACTTCTACTACTACTATTGCTACTACTATTACTACTACTACTACTACTGCTACTACTCGTACTATTGCCGATTAGTGCGGCTGCTGCTGCTAATGCTGCTGGCACTGCTACTACTAATGACTGCTGGCTACTACTGATTGACTGCTGACTATTGCTGACTACTACTACTACTACTACTACTACTACTACTACTACTACTACTACTACTACTACTACTACTACTACTACTACTACTACTACTACTACTACTACTACTACTACTACTACTACTACTACTACTACTACTACGAGTACTACTACTACTACGAGTACTACTACGAGTACTACTACTACTACTACTACTACTACTACTACTACTACTACTACTACTACTACTACTACTACTACTACTACTACTCCGACTACTACTACTACTGCTCGTCCTCCTCCTGCTCCTCCTGCTGCTGCTGCTGCGGCTACTACTTCTACTTGTGTGGGGCGACAGCTAATGTACACCCATGAATCCGTGAAGAAAGGCTAGGCGGCGAATGCTGCCCGATCTAAAAAAGGTAATGCGACTCACGTCTTGTTGGGGATCCTGGGTGTAGTCATTTGCAGTTGATTCAGCCTGTACGCCAGCGGAGTGAATGGTTGCCTGGGCTGATTCGGGTCTGAAGCATGTTTCCGCTTAGAGTGCCCGGTGTGGATTTCCAAACTTGTTGTGAGGTTTGGCATTGGGGCTGAACAAATCGAAACCTATCCTTCCTCGGCATCTTCCTCTTCCCTCCTGTCACTCACCGACGACGAATCTCAGGAGTGCTGGAGATCCGGGCGTTCGGCACACCGCACGATCCGGATATGAGCTGGGGCTCGGTTCTGCCGGCATTGGGAAGCATGGGCAAGGCTGCTTGGCTATCTTGACTCTCAGTCTCTATGCTGCTGAGCGATTACTGATTCGCCATGATCTTCTTGTAGCACAGCTGAGGAAAACGCACCGGAGATCGCCAAGGTCCTTGTGTACTGTCAGCAGGTGCTGGGCCATCTCTGCGAGAAGTTCAGCAGCCTTCCGGAGGTGCCGAAGTGGGACCTGACCCCGTTCAAAACCATCGAGGGCTTCCTGACAGTGGTGTCGGAGGGCAAGCTCGAGATCTTCGGGCTTCCCGACCGTGCGAGGCGAGTGCACAACCTTCTCCGTGCCATCATTCGCGGCGAGCACTATGCGGACCGAACCTGCGAGTGTTTGTAAGTCGAGTCTCCATCAGAAATGCCGGCAACTGTGTCAGGACTTCGAGGCCACCATCAAGGAGTTTCCTGATGCCCCTCTGGCCACCAGGTTGGGGCACAGCCGGACACATGCCCTGTTCCAGGATGTCCTGCGAGAGCCTTTTGGTTGCAATAATATAGGTGGCTGACTCTGTCCCAACAGAAGCTGTGAGTGCATCCTTTGTCGAGGTGGCAGCATGCGCTCCCTCTTTCAGAGCCAGCGCCAGAGACTGCGGCTCAGGCGGCATTGCAGACCGAGGAGGACGAGCCGAGCGGTGCTGCCTCGTCGATGAACGACGAGGCAGAAAAAAACCGCCTGAGGGGCGTGAAGGCGGCTGGAATGGAGGAAATAGGTCATTATGTGAAATTCATCCAGATCGACTCGGACGGCCTGGCAGACGGATTATTGGTACACAATCGTGTCAAACCGAAGCTGGGTCCTGCTAATTATGCCTGATCGTCAGTCGTCATGTCTGAACCCTGATAATAAACTGCAAAAGCTAAGGGTCCTTTCCAGCATGCCCCCTTTGGACCGCGGGCAAAACGTGGTCTTCATCGTCGACCCAGGCGTCATGTCCGAGCCGTCCGAAGCCTACACCCGAGCACACAACGTGTATTCGAGAACACCGTCGGTGTTCACCCACGTGATCACCGGCAGCGTCAAGGCTGCTGGGATGTTCGCCTCGGAGTTTCCAGGGGTAGCGACGTTCGGGTGCTTCGACGTGGGCTCATACAAGGCCGGCCAGTGTATCAGGTCGCAGCTGGCCAAAGCCAAGATTGGCCGGTACCAGGCCTGGGACCTTCTTCCTCGACAGTGTGATATGGAAGCTCGGCTACTTTTCCGACATGGAACGGACGAGGATCAAGAGCTGCTTTGCTGCAGATTGGGAGTGCTCCACTCACTCACTCACTCACTCACTCACTCGATCAGGTCGGCACTGAAGCGGCGAAAAACGTTGGGCGTCACCGCCGGGCACTTGACCTACATCGTGGGACGTGAAGTTTTTCATTTCTGCCGGAGCATCAATCCCATCGATGCAAAGCCGCACAAGCACCTGACAATGCCGGCCGGGCGACTCGGAGCAAGGAGCTTCATCATTTCAGTCCGTCCAGAGTGTCATCATCGTAGAGTCCAGACTTCTGTGTTGCATGCGAGGTCTGGTGACTCGTCGGCCAGTTGGCTGACGATTCCGCTCCCTCACCCCTCCACACTGCGACCATTGGTGAGTAAGGCCGACAAGCAGAAGGCGGACGGGCTTTGTGGAGTTGAAATCAGTGTAGACAGCAGTTGCGTGGCCCCAGCATTTCAGGTGCTCATGAAGTATGACAGCAAGAACCAAAAGAAGGATGCCAATGCCAAGGCGCTCAACGATGAGGATGTTGTGCAGCATGCAGCAGAGATCGGTGAGGAGGACTGAATTTCGCATACTGCTGAGTAGCTACATCGTCGAGCTCCTGCAAAGCACGTGCTTCGGCAGGAGCTGCAGCCGTTGAATTACCTGGCGAGACATGGCAGCTTGCACAAGGAGCTCTGAGCTATTGCAGTTCAAACCAAGGCCCGTGAATTCAGCGTTGGTGTCAGGAGCTGTGGCACCTTCTGGATGCGGGACGGCTGGTCAGCTTCAGTCCAGAGTTCAATCAGCTATCCGCAGCCATGGAGCAGCGACTCTTCACCATTGCTCTGGTGCGAAGCAGCCTCCACGAGGACCTGCTGAAGAAGGAATTGCTCGAGTGGGTGACACAGGAGCTGCAGCGTCCTTCCAACGACCGTTTCTTCCGGCCTCATCTGGCACCGCCTCAGAGAGACGTCGTCGAGGTGGCCCCTGCCGCCGCTGTTAACAGGGAGGCCCCGATTGAGACACGTCCTGGGAGCACGAGCAACTGCCCGGGACAGACCGAGGATCAGGAGGAGTATGGCGGCGATGACGGAGAGATCCCTGGGCTGCTGCAGAACATGGATGAGGACGAGGACCCGGAGGCTCAGGAGGAGTTTGAGGAGGATCTTGATGAGGGCAATGCCTAGGAAGTTTCACGACTGATGAGACTCAGCAGCCTGGTCGTTTTGGCTGGGACGGAGATTGAACTTAATTTTCTAAGGCAGCATGCTCATGAGTGCAGTGATTCGGGGCCTCCCCTCCCACACAAGACAGCTGCTGAAGTCAAAGACTCCGAACTTCGCAGGCCTAGCATCTGCGTGTGGTGAGAAAAGTGCTGCGGCAAGAGTCATATTGCAAGAGGCTTTGGAGGGCTTGCTGGTGACATCGCCCCATGCAAGGGTGTCAGCTTGGACTGAACTTACTTCATTGCACACTTGACAGCAGAAAGCCAAGCTGGAGGGATCATCGGTATCAGTCTTTGTCTGACTCTGCCATTGTCTGTGACTGGAAGACGGATAGGGGCTCGGGTCACTCATTGCTGCCTGACCTCTCTGTGCAGGCCCTTCGCCGTCGGCTTCATGGACGTCCTGAGGCTGTGTTCTGGAAGCTTTGGGGTTGGGATTGCTTGTAATAACCTTGGGGTGGCAGCTCCAGTCCTGGCGGAAATGCCATTCAATCGTGTCGTAACTCTGAATCGAAGTGTGTGAACCCAATAGCTCGCGGCTATCAGCCTGGCAATGATAAGAGGTGAGGCCCTGAGGCAAGAAGCCCCGCAAGCCACAGAGCGATGTAAGCCCTTCTGCTTCTAGTTGTCATTGTTCAAGCATGCCACGTCCTTTGACAGTAAGTACTATATTACCATACCCTCCCTGGCCTCATCGGAGCATCCATTTAATGTACGTGTGTTGGCATCATGAGTGCGAAGTGGGAAATCATGTTTGGGTTGACACTGACATGCTGTGGTAGTGTTAGTCATTTAGCAAGGTTCATGTAGGACCCAGAGTAGGCCCTTATTCCCTTTTTTAGGGTTCAGGTTCCCTTATAAGCCCTTTTAAACCAAAAAGGGCACCCTTTTTATTCCTAGGTTACTCTTAGGTCTACGTGTGGGACCGGTTTCCTGATGCGAGTCTGACTGCCCTTGGGGTTCCATTCCACTAGATAGCTTCGTCCCACACCTTATAAATCCTGCTTTGAAGTTCGTCTTGAAGCAGTCTGTGTGTATTCGCGAGCGACCTGAAGCGTTAGCAGCTTGCCAGGCTTTTGGGGTCTGTCTTATGAGGCTTCTGGAGTTTTCTGGGTTTAGGTTCCAAACTTCGCAACCCTCATGGCATCTAAGCGGTCGTCTCATGCGAATAGGATAGGTTTACTGCTGGATTCCAAGCTTGCAGGGGTGCAGGGTGTTGGGTTTGTTTTGGCCTTTGGGATTGGAGGGCTCGAGGGTCCGGGGTTTACAGTTAGATGATTTTAGGCTTTAGGGTTATACAGCCTCACATGGAGTCATAAAGCTTTCGGGCTGCAGCGGCATCTCTTTCGCATTTTTTCATGGTTTCTGAGATGATAAGTTCGGGTTGGGGTCCGGGTTGAAGGATTCATTAGGTGTTGGAAGCTGATATACAGTCTTGTTGTTGCTTTGTGCTGGGTTTGCGGTTTGGGTTGGGGTTTAATTAAGGATTGGGTTTTGGAAAAAGACATCCAGTTCTTGAGTTCTACTGTTACCTGAAATTTAGTTTCTGTTGGGGTTTCTGGGAGTTAAAGCTTGTGTAGCTGCGTACATGGGTAGCCCTAAACCCCCCCGAAACTGGCATTGTGGCTTTTGCTCCGGGCTATTGGGTTGCGGGGGGAGCGAGGATTCTTCCTAGGCTTAGGCGTTCAATTCTACGCATAAACCCGGCCCCCAAACCCCAAACACCATAGCCTCCCTCCGATCTACAGCCACTCGGAACCGCCACACTGACACGGCGAGACAGGCACGCATGCCTCGGTTGTGGTCAATCCGGGACCAGTCCAGGGTCATGATCCCTCGCTGCACTTGCACCAGGAGTTGGTGCCGACCGACCGCAGACAGCGGTAGCATCAGTTGGTTGCCCAGTACGTGCTGCCGACCGACCGCAGACAGCGGTAGCATCAGTTGGTTGCCCAGTACGTGCATCGACCGGTTGGTCGTCGTCTTTTCGCCGGGACCAGGAAAAAAAAGATGCAAGAATCGCATCTGTATTCCGGCACCAACAAAAGGCCGAGCGCCGAGAGGCCACACACAGGAAGACTGGCCAGAAGATGACGTGGTGCATGCGTAATTCGGCCCCAACCCCCCTGCAGGCCCTACTTAGGCTGCTAGTGTACCCAACCCTACTAAGGTCCTGGTACCTTAAAATGGAGATCACTTAAGCCCTACGTAGGTGACTAAGCTGGAGCTCCAGCTGCGGCAGAAGTAGGGTACTCTAGTCCTATACTTCTAGGCCGGCTTTAGGCGCGGTGGCGGCGAAGGTCCCCAACAGCCCGATCTTCCGGTTTTAGCCTGAACCCTCCTCGGCCACATGCCAGCAATTCGTTGCAGCGGCGCTGCACGATGCTGAGGCGACCGTCACGCTTGAATCAGGTTTAGTCCTGACATAAAGAAACCATAGGTCGCCACCGAAATAATGCCAGCCGGTAGCTGAGTAGCTGTAGGCATTGGCCGTACATGAACGTGAACCAGAACTCCGCAGGCCGCAAGCCCAAACCCGTATTTCCGCCACTCCCAACAGAACCGCAGGACGTAGCTGCCTCTCACAAGTGCAAGGGTCCAAGACACCTGATAGATTAAGCCCCCCTGATCTCCCGAACATCCCGGAATCTGGCCAGTCACGTCTGGCCTCCTGTGCATTGCTGGCAGCCTTGGCAGTGCCAAGGCAACGAAACCAGGTGTGGGTTTGGGGATCTCTCTGTAGCTAGCCACAGTGCCCGTGCGCCCGTTCTGAGCCCTCTCACAGGCTAGACCCCAAGCCTATCCTATCCTAGCGATGGGCCCTATCACAGTGCCCATCTTAAGCCCTGAGCCCCGAAATTGAGCTTGTGGGTCTAGTCTAGTTTAGGTTCGTTGCGGCATTTGGTTGTAGCGTGTTTCGGGTTGGATTTGTTGGGGCCTGCCATCGAAGACGGCCGAATCTAGGCTTGTGGGCTTTTATACTGATTTCATGGTGTGTCATCCGCACACGTGCATTTCAACTAGTTCTCAAGTGTCAGCTCCGGTTGATTCTAGGTTTGGTATGGTCTGAGGCATGGATCGAGGAAGG